GCAGCTGGTCTGACATACCACTCACATGACAGCTGGACTTGGTCCGGTCATCATTGTCATCAAACATCTTAAGTCGAACATTTGCTACCGGTACCGCCTTGGAGCGACACATTAGCCACATACGTGACGGGTGTCATTGGGAGACTCTGATTGGCATCAGTTCTTCAGCGGGAAAGGGCCCTAAAAAATATCTAACCACACGGGCTCACTACATGGCCGCCCCTACCGCTAAGCTGGTGGGCAGGCCATATCGGAACAAACCTATATTCGCAAGAAGGTGATCAAACCAAAGAGCACTGTGTCAGCGAAATGTTGGCGTGTGCGAGTGAGATGCGAACAGCATTACCGTCATGAAGGCTGCTGGAATCGGGGGGGGGGGGAAGGGGCAGTAGGTGGTGGGGAAGAGGAGACAGTTCAAGGAGAGCATATATTTGCCCGTCCCCCCCCCCAAAAAAAAAAATGTGAGGCCCTTTCCTACTCTAAAGACATTCCAGTTTGCCGCAGAAAAGCACAATTGCTACCAGCGAAGCCCTCATGACTGAGCTGGAGAATACTGAATCGGGCTCAGAAAGAACGTTTGCTTTACCAGGAGATCCATTTTCTAGATCGTGAGGTTACACTTGCCAATAAAGCAGCTAATGCCTTAAAGCAGACGGCCAAATGTTGTACTAAGACAGCCCATTTGCTGGCTGGGGCTTTATAGCCTGGGGCAAAATAGGCGCCTAATAGTTTATTCCCCGTTATAAACTTGAAGGCGCGTATTTTGGTTTAGGAGGCAAACATTATTTTCAAGGGAGTCCTATTTTGGAACAGTAGGCCCTTTTACATATCAGATGGTCCCGGTTCCAGATCTGGATGCCTGTCTTGGGACATTAACCCCCTTGGCCAGATTTGGAAGCCCGTTTCGTGATACATAATTATCCTGTTTTGGATAAGGATGTCCATCTGTGCAACGGGAGGCCGTCGGCTGTAACAGGATGCTTTGTTTTAGGTTAGCCGACCCTCTACTGGATATAATTAGAAGGACATCATTCTGGCTGTTTTAACTGTGTGCGTCTGTTGACTTGATCGTAACACATGCCGCAATTTGGTAAGGGGCGCACGCCCTCGCTGCTCCCCGTCCATGAATACGATTCCCGGCAGGAGGCCTCATTGTGAGAAGGCCGCCTGGAAAATCCTTCCACCAACTCAAAACCCGTGGCGCCGTCCCTGCCTAGAATGTCTGCGTGGTCACCGTTAAGAGAGCCTGCTGCACTTAAAAAAAAAAACACATTTCACCAAAGAGCGCGAACGATCCTAACGGGCGTGCTCCCCTTTAGAAAGGTGGCAAACCATAGCATACCAGCCAGCTGTAGCGCAATGGGGGCGCTGACTTGGAGAAAGGAGACCACGGAGCTGCTGTCAGTATACGTAATCAAACCCGTTCTCGGGGTGACAGACCATCTCCGGAGCTGCCAGTACACGGTCACTCAGCAGGGCCTGGCTGCCAGTACACAGCCACTCAGCAGGGCCTGACTGCCAGTACACGGGCACTCAGCAGGGCCTGGCTGCCAGTACACGGCCACTCAGCAGGGCCCAGCTGCCAGTACATGGCCACTCAGCAGGGCCTGGCTGCCAGTACACGGGCACTCAGTACGGCCTGGTTGCCAGTACACTGCCACTCATCGGGGCCTTGTCAGCAGTACACGATCACCCAGTGGGGCCTCACTGTCGTGCACGGCCACTCATATGGGCTTCGCTGTACTGCATTCCATGTGTTACTATGTATATTTGCTACGGTGCGTAGGTCGGAGATCACGGGATGGATTATGCACTATTGATCCGCACGATAACCTCTGTAGATTATATGCAAGCGTTCCGCCGTGTGTGTGTATGGAGGGAGAGGGGGAGGGGGTGGCTGCGTAACGGAAGGAAATGATAGCAGTCATGAATGGCGGCTTGGCTATATCACTGCCCCGCACTCTGGACACTGGAATAGGCGGGAAGTCAATATCATAAGTACCCATAGCACTTCTCCGCTAACTTGCCATGAGCATGTTTACGTACAGCACATATTTTCGAGCTGTGGACCTGGGGTCAAGTATCACAAACACATAAGAAATAGAGCAAGGCGTAAAATGCTTATCGCGTTGAGCCGCGCTGTACTATTATCATGCTGTGCATCTTGCCAGAGCGTGCAGCGCCAGCACCTCATTGCAGCGGCGGTGAGCCTCTCACTGGAGCGTCGCTATTTCCATCACTGGGACTGTCATACGTCTGGCACAGAAGAGGCCGGGTGTCTGGCACAGAAGCGGCCGCGTGTCCGGCACTGGAGCAATCGTCCAGCACTAGCGCCGCCGTGTTTCCGGCACAGGAGAGGATGCATATCCGGCGCAGGAGCGGCCGTCCAGCACTAGGGCCGCCGTCTTTCCAGCACAGGAGAGGCCGAGTGCCCGGCACTGGAGCAATCGCAAAGTCTTCTGAAACGACCCAACTTGCTATTTGAGGTAGCGACTATGCCGATTGGCCCTTTGCTCACCACTATAAAAATAGTGGTTTCCATCTGCTCTGCTTTTTTCGTATGCGAGTTCCGTTACAAAACATGAATTGGCCGAAATTATTATGCAGTAAATGATACGAGAGCTTGAAGCATAGATAAGACAGTAGTATTAGCCTTGTTGCTCGGCGAAAAACCAGGAGGATGGAGATATAGTTGGGTTGATATTTCGGCCACATGCCTTTATGAAAACAATAGCAGACGTGAATTCACTTCGAGTGAACACAACTTATGGAAACAATAGCAGAAGTGAATTCACTTCCTCTATTGTTTCGATAAAGGCATGTTGCCCAAACATCTATCCAACTACATTTCCATTCTCCTGGTTTTTATCCGAGGAAAGAGGTTAATATTGCTGTCTTATCTATGTGGATAACGTTCCCCGCTAATGCACTGAACAACTTACGTTATAGAGAACTTAAGACACTCCATTCAATAAACAGCAGTTACAATATAACAGCTTTTTCACACAAAGCGAACAAAACGTCATTTTATGACGCTTTCTTCTTATTTTGATTTTTCTCCTCCTGATTTCTCACCTGGTGCCGTGTACCATAGTGGCCCTTTGAAGGTTAGTAAAGCCCATTTTACATTGCATTTCCAGAGGTTAGATTCCGCCGCTCGCTCTAAATCGATCGGGTTTGTACAGCGTCAAAATGTCTGGTGTCATGGGTCACAATAAGTACACATGATGCATCTTACCATGATCTTTGACCATGAGATGAGATTTACTAGTTCTAAGTATGACAAATGTGGATATCACGAGCATCAATATGATACCCGTTTTGTGATGTTCATACACGAAGCAAATAAATATAAGAATGCTCCGTTCTTATGACTTTTAACTTTACCCTTGAAAGCTAGTTTTTCAATTGTGTTAAAGCAGACATCATTGGCATTGATATGATCCCTTGTTGTGGCATTCATTAAGCCAACTCATAAACGCAATGATATCAGGTTTTTGTGAACATGATCTTTGAGATAAGACAAGACAAGAGTTGGTCTTCCTTGTGTGAGGAAAACGAACATCCTGAACATGCATGTGATTCGCATTTTGTGGTATCTAAAACGAAAACAATGAGTGCCGGATTGCTGCATTTTTGTGACGTTAACAAGTCACCTCCAAATTTTGCATTTCGATTCGTGACGTAAGCGAACGTTCTAAGAATCGACGTGATGCCTGTTTTGGGGTATTTATGAATCCAACAAATAAATACCAGGGTACCGTGTTTTCTATCACCTTAACGTTTCCGCTGAGAGTTAGTTTTTACAGGTATGACGAAAACAGACATGATGTCAATCAATATGACATGACTTTCGCTTCAGTTCCTAATAAAACGAACGCATGCCAGGGTAGCGCTTTTGTTATGACCTTGACTTTTCATCTTGAGAGAGTTCGTTTTTGCCAAGTGTGACGAAAGCAGATATCACAAGGACCACCCTAAAGACCTCTTTTGTTCTATTTAAAAAGTGAACGTCTAAATACCAGGGTACCACCTTTTTGTGACTGAAACCTTTATCTACAATAGTAATTCAGTATTAGGACACGAAGACAATTATCTTTATAAGTGAGTGTTGCCTAAGTGATAAGTGATAATTGTCTTTGTGTCCTAGCGCCTTAGAGTTGAGAAGAGGCTGCAAGAGTTGCAAGTCAATTGCAGAGTATCTTTATAAGTGATCAATCTGCAATGCCAACTGCGGCCAGTAGCATTATCGATGCCGCAGGGAAATTTTCGCTGCCGATACTTACCAAACTACTTGCGTATTGAAAAGGTCATGGTGTCGATTGCCCGCGTTGTCCGCCATTCCTGCCGGGGTGAAAGGCAGGCGACGCCATATAGCATCAACAGCTGAGTACATCGTAAAGCCCCAATGAAACACACGGAGAGGTAATGGCGTGCAATGACTTCCAAATTTTCCTGAATTTCGCGACAACGAGTCATTCCCGAGCAGCTTACAGCACAGTGAACACCCCATCCCACCATGCACCTGAGAACACCCTCTCCAAATGAAGCACAGATCGTGTGAAGGCCGAGCTGCTGACACACTACCCCTGCAGCTGACCAAGACATAGCTGGCTTCGAAGATACGTGATTTGTATATGCAAATCATGACCTTGGCTGACTGTCGTAAAACAAATCGGATGGGCTCCCTGCACCCCCGGCAGCCCCGAGGGAGACCGCCCGCACGGGCGCACCCAGCGCCGCGGAAACCGGGGTGCCCACAGCAGGACGGGGGCGCGGACCCGTGTGCCAGGCGGCAACGGCTCTGGCATCCTGGTGGCAACAGGGGTGTCAGTGAAAACAGGGCCTCCATGGCATCCGTTTCACGTCTCGCCACCACACGGCCTTCCACGCAGCCCGGATGCGTCCTGGAGCCGCGGCCGGCGACGGTGGCGCCCTCACATACTCTCAGGATTCCGCAACGTAACTAGCCGGTTTCGGAGAGCCGCTGGCTGTGTTCATGGGTACAGGGCACATGTTGGGTTAGTCGCCAGTCGCGCGACTCCCCTTGGGCCGGTATGACGGTATGGGTGTTACTCCTGCTGACATGCGTGGCGGCGGCGGGCGCACTGAAGGCGCCTGAAAGGTAAGTCGATGCTGTAGACTGCTGAATGTGAATTGCTGATGTAAATGAAAGATGCACGCAAAGATAGCAACCGTTCGTTGTAATGGCCATGCAGCCAACTGAACGCTTGTCTAACAAATGTAGGCAACCAAACATCTTAGATGAGGAGAGAGGAAAGGAGGGGAGAGGAGAGGAGAGGAGGTGCGACGCATAGATGTTACCGGGATTAGGTGTGTTTGATCAGTGGAGGGAGAATGACCCCGCAGGGAAGTGAGTAACAGAAACCTTGCATATGACGTCACAACGTCGTACACCTGAATATTAGCGAACGTGTAACCACCTCCTTATCGTGTTCGTGAAGCTGATGACGTCTAATTATATGTACCATCATGCCTATTCTCGGTTTGATACAGCTTTTTTACCAAGTGTTTGAGGGACTTTGTATGATGTGGACAAAAACTAAGTGATCTTGAGCGCCTGTACATGTATAATACACTATTTCTGACCACAGAAAGGCATTACACTGGTGACATAGGCTCAGTCAGTACTTAAAATGCTCGCATTCGGATCTTTTATAAATTTACTTAAGTTTACCCCTGATGACATCTGGGTCAACCTAAAAGGATATCTTTGTCAGGAATCCTTCATCCCACATCTGCATGTAATAAATCAACTTAGAAGCACATCGTGAAGAAAGTATTGCTCTTGTAGGTTACTGGTACAGCAATTTTAAACGGTGACCTGATTTGTCCTGATCCATGTGGTGGAAAAGGAATGGTCGGAATGGGCTCTCCGCAGTCTCAACGGCTTTTTTGTGCCTTCAATATCCGTCTCGACGTGTTACCACAGGTTTTAACCGCATCTATCTGAACGACCGCTTCAGACCTTTCGTGGCCGCTGGTGACCTAACATTTGACCTGAGACCAAAACCATGGTGTGCGTTCTTCATGATTTGACGAGACATTAAAAACGGTATCTTTCTTTTTCTCGCACATCACCTGAAAGTGGAAGATGCCAGAGGGGGGTCGACATACTCCCCGGACGGGGTGCGGTTGCCTCACACCTGGCGGGGCAAAAAATTGTGCGTGAAAGTGACAGAAATCGTCATTTTGTGCATGTTGCTTGCCTGAACGAACTAAAAAGACTTCAACTACGCTCGTGGCGACCATGAACATGGTTACCGTGAGACATCAGGATTTTATAACGCAGAACATTACCTTTCTGTTATGAAATGAAAGCAAGGTATCAATTCTAGAACCACTTGAAGTTCAAATAATCTTGGTCTCCCAGCGTTAATTATATATCAGCGCTGCTAAACAGACAATCTCGAATAGCCCATCTAGCAAAACTTGGAGTCGCGTGTTGGTACGGCTTCCGTACAGTCACAGATTGGGTTCAGTCACGGGCTGGGTGCGGTTGGATAGAGCCACAGGTTTGGCATGGGTTGGGTAGTCACAGGTTGAGCAGAGTCATGGGCTGGGTATGGGGATAGATGGAGTCACAGGTAGCGTGCGGTTGGCAGAGTCATGGGCGGGTTGAGTCACAGGTTGGGTAGTCATGGGTTGAGTATAGGTTTGGCAAAGCCACCGGCTCCGTGAAGTGACGGGTTGCGTACGTTTGGGTAGAGTCACGGTTTGGGTGAACCCACGGGCACCCGTATGGATTGAGTGACACCATGGATCGGGAAGATATTTTGCGACATTACGGGACATGGCTATTTTAAGGAATGTTTCAAGTCACTGGCTGTGTTTCGGTGCGCACCTGCGAGCGTTTTGAGTTTGGAGCCTTTGGAATTAACCTTTGTAACATAATGGGTGTGTTTGAATTTGTGCATTTTGTGAATTTTCATCATAATGGGGTGTATTGTGAACAAAAATGTTACGTACGTACGGCTGAGTATGGCTGATGGCTGTATCAACGTGTGGCTGAGCATTCTGTGAATCATCATGACCGCATTCACGTTTGATTTGAATGGCTCAGGAAAAATCGCAATTGAAAGCACGCGCCTCTTTTAATATCTTTCATTTTCGTATAAAAACATGAAAATAATAGTAAAATGTGCGGGGAACGGGAAGACGGTGACGTTGGCAACAGTGGTTAAGACTGATTGGAGAGCTTGGCTGCAGGTGCAGTCAAGGCACCACCGGGTAATCGTGATTGGATATGCGGGCAAATATAGCCCGTGAAGACCTCTATTTGGGAGGGAAATGCCACAACCAGGTAACGGCGGCGGTTTAGCCGCCGGCGACCTTGGGGCTCGCACTCATCCCAGCGCGTGCGACCCCACAACGACCTTCGTGCGACCCCACAGCGACCGTGCACGCGGATGCTGCTTAGAGCGATGTGGTAGTGTGGTAAAGGCAAAATAACGTTACGAAAAAAACAAACAAGAAAACCCTTTGGAGCTAAAAGGAAAGAAAGGTGTGACGAACTTTTTCCATCAATTCGGAATCGCTCTCTTTTCCATTATTTAAGTTAGGCCTGTTATATTTCCGAATGCTTGAATCGGCCATAAGTCAAGCATAAGGCGTTCTGAAGACCACCACATTCGAGCATGTAGAAATGTATCACCCATGGTGGGCTGCGGCCGTGCCGACGCCGGACAACGCCACCCGCAAGCACGTGCTTACGGTGCTGTGGTTCCGCGCATGCGTGAGCCCGTTAAAAGCGTATGCTCCAGGAATCGGAGCACCTCGCACCTTGCTCCCTGCAGGTAATGGCAAAGCGGGAAAAGACTTGCGGGGCTGATGGCCAAGTGTGCCCGTAACTTTTTTAGTTCGGTCTTGATTCGAAAGGTGTGCGCTCTTGATCAGGTTGATGCCTAGGTCCATAATGTTACCACCAGGAACTAAGGGCTGGTGCAGAAGTGGCGATTATGTTGGTGATAGACGTATGTTTGAGGCTATACGTGTTTGCTTGAAAAAAAATACTGAATAAGCACACGTTTACGAAGACTTTTGCGCCTGTCGTACCAACGATGATGTCGTTTAAAGTATCAGCGTCTGCATAGCGTGGGGTCAGCTAATATACCAGCCGTCGCATGACTTCTTTGTAAACAGCGTATAGTGTGCCGCTTCTGATGTGGTATTAGTCACATCAGTCCTTGGCAGACTGTGTAATGGTGCGCTGTTTCTGATGTACTAACAGTCACTTCAGTCGCATGCCAGCAGTGTAGTAGTTTGCTGCTTCTGATGTACCAGAAGGCACATCAGTACATGCCACCGGTATAAAAGTGTGCTGCTTCTGATGTACTAGCAGCCACTTAGGTCCGTTACAAAGTGTTTTGGTGTGCTGTCTCTGGTGTAGCAGAAGACACCTCAGTCCCAAGCCAACAGTTAAAGAGTGTGCTGCCTCTGATGTGCCAGCAGTCGCATCAGTCCATTGCAGACGGTGTAATAATGCGCCGCTTCAGATGCACCAGAAGGCACATCAGTCTCTTGTCAACGATGTAATAGTTTGTTACTTCCGTTATACCAGCAGTGGCATCAGTCTGTTAAGGAACGGCGTTACAGTGCGCTACTTCTGATGCACGAGCTGCACTAGCAGAACAAAAGACACGATGTCGCAGTGTGCCACGTCTGGTGCAGCTGCCGTAAAAAGGGCGGACAGTGGCAATGCTTGGTGCTGTGTGAAGCAACAGCGTTCGTTCGTTCCCAATGCGTCGCACTTGTTTATCTAGCCTCTCCGGCAGTGGTAGCATAGTTCAAAGACTTTGGATGACCTCAAATGTCCTTGTATGTCCTCATATGACCTTCGTGACCTCATCATGCAGTATAATGATATCAGAACATGTTTTCAATTAAGTATTGAAATGCTGTGTTCAAAATTCCGCTGTGAAAATGCCTGTTTTGAGCTTACCAAGAGTTTTTGCGGAGTTTAGCCATAGAGATAGGTTATAACCTGGGTCAAGGTTATGTGCTTTAAGTCATATGATAATTTTTTTTGTTAGCCAGTACTCTTTTTTCCACAAAAAACACCACAGATAAGATAGTAGTAATAGCCTTATTCCTCGGAGAAAAAAGCTGGGGAATGGAGATGTAGATGGGTTGGTATTTCGTTTAGGTCTGACATTTGTGCAAACTCTAGCCAAAAATATAGCCATACTCACGGGAAAATGATAACACAGAAAATGTGTCAAAACTAAAGTTCATGTCTTTACAATTCTGTAAAGTCCTTGTGTGCCCTTACTGTAGTAATTTCTGCGCATAAAAACAACAAAATGATGAGTTCTTAGAAGTTCATGACACTGGCTATACATAGCAATGCTCTGAGTTTTCCTCACGTCGGTCATGTAAGGTCATAAGTGGGTTGCAGCCATCTAATACTCCGGCAGGTCCAGGTCCAGGCCGTTTAAGCATTTCGTTGAGGAGATTGCACCGATTTAAGCCCGCCCCCCAGACACCTGACGAAGCGCATGACGTCTGGCGTTCAGGGCATACTTCTTCTCCGGGTGTGGGAATGACAAAAAGAGATGGAAAGAGTCCATGTTTTCGCATAAATGAGCTCAATGCTTGGCCGCAGGGTTAATGCTAAGCTTCCACGTGAAATCTCAGCTTGTTGCAGTGCTCCTGCCCTACCCCTGGCTGCGCCCAGCCCCTGTCCCTGTTCCTCTATGCGTCAACGTCCCTTCACATCCTCTGCCCCTGCCCCGGTCTCTGGCTCTTCTGTCCTTCATCTGCCCCTGGCCCAGTCTCTGGCTCTTCTGTCCTTCATCTGCCCCTGTTCTTACAGTCATGCCGGTACCGACGGACACATCGAATTCAATCGGACTTTGGAGTATTGCGTGACCGTTGGCGTCTCGGCCTCGATCTGTTGTACTGCAAGCTGCCATGGACTACACACGGCAGTGTGATTTTGTATTGAGGCGCCATAGTACAAGGCCGAGGATGTTGTGCGCTTTCGGCAGCATTCTTTGATGATCTTACCATCTGAGGAGTTCGCGATAACATCGCATAACATTCGGAATAGCTTGAACATGCTGTTTAGACGGCCGCCAGCGCCAGCCTGAGCAGTGCATCTGCAGCTTATCCTGCTGTGCACTCTTTCCAATGTAATCAATCCAGTCTGGCCGCTTGCGCTCCGATATAGAGGGCGACTGCCACCGGTGCAGCGAACCGTGCGGAAAATCCCGGCTTTCGGGCGATGAAGTGCCGGTTGCTATGCAGACGGTGCTTCCAGCGTGTAAACACTGACGGACAAATCTGAATTGAGGTTGAACAGGGAGCTGTTTGAACTCTGCAAGCTGAGGACAGCACGTCGGTGCGGTAAAGATGATGGTGACCAGGTCTGGAAAAGGAACCGTTTTCTAAAGAAAATCATATAGTCCGTGAGTCGCGATCATTCAAGCAATCTGGTTCCTACAACGCCTTGCCCCTCTAGTTGCAGCTTCGTAAAGGATCTTAGCAATGCGAGCAGAGAGATACCACCAACATCACTGTTTACAGAACAACAGAAAAATGTTGCGTCTGTTATTCATTTGTCATGGTGCTAAGGTGACTTCTCCAGACGTTTCACCTGTCCTAAGCCTCCGCCGGCCGGACTGTGATGCAGGACCTCTCGGGCATCCGACTGAGGTGCAGGACCTCTCGGACATCCGGCTGTGATGCGGGACCTCCCAGACATGCAGTGCGTCTGACCAGTGATGTCATTCCTTTCAACAGTGGCTTCCTCTTCACATCGCCCAAGTTGCTGCAAGCGGGCACCAGCGAACGCTTCTGCGTCACGCTCTTCAACCTGCCCGGGCCGGGGCGGAACGTGACCCTCAGTCTCTCGAGCAAGGCCGGGACACGCCCCTGGTCCACAACAGTGGAGCTGATACCAGACACGGTGGACGGTGAGATTCAAAAGGCCACAAACAGCGGGTATATGCATAGGAGCCACCAGAGAATATCTATGATTAGCATGGCATTGGCAACGCGCGTAGGACAACGCTGCATCGTTAAAAGGCTGTCGTGCTAAATATTTGCTATTATGTTTGCCAGCGACAGTTCAGCATCGCAGACTACTGGAAACATAATATTCTGCATTGCTCTGCCACGATTGCCGGTTGTCGGAGCCCGCCTGATTACCTTACCCTTGTGTGTGTGTCTAGACTGTCTCTTTCTACTGCCACCCTGAGTGACTGTTGCTATTGTATCATTACCATCCCGGTTGCCTGTAATCAACTGACACTGACGATCTGATTGGTTTAGTTGCCGTCGACCATTCTGATTGGCTGTCACACGGACTCCGCTGTTCTCCTCAGCTGATGGCGATCACTGTTTTGACCTGGACGTGCCGCGCTCGGTGCCCCCTTTCCGGGGTTACCTGGATCTCCGCATTGCCAACGCTGCCGGACTCCGCCTCTCAGACGGCTCCAAGGTTCGTATTCTAGATAAATGTCAATAACACGCTAGTATATTTTGGCAATCAGCACATGGGCGTCATCTTTGCCAGCATTGCTGTTCCGGCCATGGCATGCACTCGTCCCTGAGTTCATAACGGTTTTATTTTGGTCACGTGAAAACCCTATATAAAAAAAAAAAGCCGCATGCAACATGACCCATAAGAAAATAACAATGAAGTTGTCACGCCTCTCGTCCCTGATACACGCCTTTTAACAGACATTTTGGCAATGGCTGGTCACAGCATCGTTCGTTTTCAGCTATGTCACAGCGATTCTGTTCAGCTGTCGGGTGACTTCAAGCCAGTTGCGTGAGCATACTTATCATTTGTATCACATTTCATTGATTACATGACAAGTCGGTTATGTTTTACAACATCGTACGTGTATCGCTGTCGCTGCGTCTCATTTGCATGTTTCGTGTTCTGTGTTGATCTATGTAGTATGTACTGACGCGGCGTTAGAATAGCCACTCGGAGGATTTCGCGAAGGCTCGCAATAAGTAATAAATGAACTACTCCTCAAACACTGCAAACGAACCGAATGTTACTCAGCTCAGCGATGTTGTTTTCAGAAACCGGGTTATGAAGACAGCACCAAGTGAAAAGACTTTGCCCCCTGCCTGATCCCCTTCTTCGTAACGCAAATGATGATGATGAGTGATGCGACCAGTGCCGTTTCCAGACGAAGAAAAAACTTAAAATAATTTGATTGCTACGAAGGAGATTTCGCGCTTTGGAGCTAAATTTATGCAGCTAGATACATCATTGACTGCATTAGGCCACGTCAAGGCCTCCGTAAGAATCTCACTTT